ACAAATATTTTAAAAATAAAAATGACCAAAACCCTCTCAACCCTATAAAGGACAAGAGAAAATATAAAAACAAATTATTTTTTTTAAAGATCCGCCCAAATCAGCCCCACAATTCAACATGGGTTAAAAAAAAGAAAAAAAAAGTATTGTATGACGCCTTACTCCATACTTATCTTCCAAACCTTTGTCTTACGTAGGGGCCATGCAAGGCCGCATCTCTCATCTTTCAAGAGGTAGAAGTTGCAACATCCAGGTTTATTGTAGCACTTCCTATTTACAAACATGGAAGTGCCACGTAAACCCAGAAGTGGAAGTTTCGGAAATCAAGAACGTAGTAGGGATGTCGCTTTTGGAGTTTTATTTCATTTAGGTATCTTTTTAAAAAATCTAGTAAGAAAATGACCAAATTTTCATGTTTAAATAGTTCAAGTAAAATGATAAAAAAAAATACCCATGATTGTTCAGAGTTAAGCGGCATTGAACAAAGCTTAATAATGAAAAAAAGAAAAGGAAAGAGCTTTGTTAACTAGCCCCAAACAACTAGAGGTGTTTTTGTCATTTTGTAGTTTTATGTTGCTAACCCTAAACATGCATACGTATTTTCATCAAGCCATTTAATGGGGCTAAATTACTAAATTGTAACAAGGGCTTGCAGTGAAATAATCCAAGTTCTCTTAACTAAGCCTAAACAACTTTAGGTATATTATTGCTTTCCAATTCTTTATTACTAAATCCTTAACAAGTATAGGTATTCTCATCATTTTTCTCGAGCCACTTAATGGGGCTAATTTTTAAAGTATCCTTAAGTGTCTAGGGTTTTCAACTCTGAACAAGAGTAATTTGGTCAATTTCACCACATAATTTGAGGAGGTACCTAAATAAAATAAATTTAAAAAACAGCACTCTTTAATGTCAAATTGAATGATTCGACATTTTGATTGACTTGATGATTTTATAAAGTGGTCTGGATCCTGCAATTGATATTTTTCATGACTAATATGAATTAATGCCCTCATGGCCCCATGTTTCATGAGAAAGGCAATTTCGTACTGGGGATCAGGAGTAGACACCTAACTGTTGTTTGGCCACAACCCAATGCCCATGATGTAAATTCAATTGAGAGATTGGGAATGTCTTTGCTATATTTTTCAAGATTTTGAGATAATGTTATTTAATATTGTATCATTACTCCTCCTTTTTCACAGTATGGGCAAAGGTGGATTCACCTACATAAATTAATATTTTTGCTATTTATCTGATTCCTTTTCTTTTTGGAAGATAATTTTGTTTTACATAATAAAGTTGGGATATGTTTATATAATGGAAAAAGATTATATAAAGTGTGAATCTTATTCTATATGGATAAGGTGCACCTAAAAACCCACTAGAAAAGGTTGTTTCGATGTTGGAAAATCCTCAAATCGATCATCTCGACCTCGAGATTTATGAACATAAAAATAAAAGATTTTTAATACTAAAAATAATTCATCTTTTCACACATTATCTAGAGTGTTTATTTTCAAGAATGTATAGATTGTTTGATCATCACTATTTACAAAACTTTAAATTTCATAATTGTAGTCAATAATTGACTTTCATATCATCGCAAGGCTTCATCGCAAGGCTTTATGGCATCGTAACTGCATTTTTGACATAGTTTCGAGGAGTATAAGGTTGACACCTTATACAAACCTCACCCTGGCCCAAGGGTGAAGCTGTAATAAATAATAAAGGGCATTAGTGGGAATTTCAGAAGAATTGAGATGATTTGGAGTCATTCCCCACTTGTGAGAGGAATCTTTTTCTTCAAATATTTTAAACTTTATAACACTTGTATTATAAATGAGAACAAGAATGACTACAATAAAATATAAAAAATGACATTGACAACAACAATAGCAAAAAGCATTCCTAAGTCAAAAGACTACAAAACGACTGGTTATCAATGAAACTATGGGATCAAGTGATTCCTCTCTCATCAATGAAACTATGGGTCAAGTGGTTCTTCTCTCTCTCTCCCCATCCATATTTTAGTAAAAATAATGTTATTGACCAATGAATTATGGCTAATATATTAAGAAAAAAGTTTATATAGAGCCGAGGCTTTAAACAATCAAATTGAAACCCACGTCAAAAATTTCACTAAAAGAGATTGTTTTGACGTCCAAATATCGTCAAATTGATCATCTCGACATCAAGATGCATATACATGAGAAAAAACGGATTTCAAGTTTCCATAGATATGTTCGATCTACATTAGTTTTGAAGCTTTTAAATTTTATCATAAAAGATACAAATATATTTTAAAGCCATTATAAAGATTTTCAGTATTGAAACCACATTTCTTGACACTATTTGAAAGTGCGTTTTATTTTGATTGTTTAGAGCCTCGGCTCTATACAAGCCGCATCCATAGAATCTCTCTCATGGGTCAGTTTTAGTGAGTGGTATTGATTAATGAATAATGGCTAATAGATTAAAATATACATATAATAGTAATATGAATGCCTAGAAAACTAATAATTCCACCCACTTACATCCAATCCTTGAACCTTGGTGCAGTACTTGTTGCCCTTGTCTCTATCCTCTTATCATTTTACTAAGTGGTACTGGCCACTAAATTAAGCCTAAAAGAAAATTTCATGTACAAACAAGCGTACATATAAAATTGATATGAGATCCGAGTCCTATACCGAGTCAGTTGTATCGGACCCCCCTATTCAGTGAGTCTCAATATGGGAAGTGTTTGAAAAACGACTTCTTCTGATTCGGATAACTGATCCAAATGAGAATTAATTGGAACTGAACGGGCCTGGGATGGTTTAGGTCCCAGCTTGGTTCCCTTATATATGTATATATATGGGTAGCGATCGTATGCAACGGTTGTATGGTAATATAATACAACAATCTTCAAAAATCATGTTAGGGCCATTTGTTTGATCCAAATTTTAAAATATACACTTTTTTCGTTATAATG